AAACGGCATCTGTGTGTAAGCGGCATAAGTGGCGTGTTTGTGTAAGCGGCGTGTGTGTGTGTGTAAGCGGCATAAGTGGCGTGTTTGTGTAAGCGGCGTGTGTGTGTGTGTAAGCGGCATGAGCGGTGTGTGTGTGTGTGTGTGTAAGTGGCATAAGCGGCACGTGTGTGTAAGCGGCCTCACCTCCACACAGTTGTCACACACGCTGCAGTGGGAGCAGCGCGGTGGCCTGTAGAAGTGGCAGGTGGCACACCACTTCATGCGCACCTGGATGCCCTTCACCTCCACGTTCTTGTAGAGTGGGGCACGGAAGTCGTCGTCCTTGTCCTCGTCCTCATTGGCTGTGATGGAGAGAGGCAATGGGACGATGGCATGGAGGTGGGAGATGGCTTTTCGGACAGGCTACTCATGACAGGGCTGGGGAAGCGTGGGGGCCCCCAAAGGCACGGAGAGCACAGGTCCAAAGCAGCGACTACAGGCTTTGAAGCTCCTATATCTCATTAAAGAACATGACTGCAAATCAGGACCTGAGAGGTGCTTCTAAAATCCCTCACATCTTTGGGATAAACACAAAGAACAGCAACAATAAGTTTAATCCTATCTGGACACATTCCCATCCATTGGGCTCCATCTGCTCTTGTGCTCAGTAGTATCCCATAATGCACTGCGGGGTCCACATACTGGCACATGGCATTGAGATCTGTGTGACAAAACTGCAACCCGACCAGATGTTGTACCTGGGGGGGGAGTAAGTGGGGTGTTAATGGACCCCCCTTAGGCCAGACCATGTATATCAACAGCCCTCCTCAAAATGGGGAACGACGGCTCAAGTCGTCATAGCCTCTGGTTTGAATCATCGGTCCCCCCCACCCCTGCACCACTTCTGGCCCCGTCTCCATGACGACCAGGTGGCGGGAGAGGACAGGACATGCTTGGAGGCAGGTGCAGTGAGGTTCCCAGCATGTGGCGACATCATCAGCCTGCGGCCTTCACACGACAGCAATGGCTTCGTTTATATTACAAAGGAACGATTCACTCGATTACTCTAACATATAATCTTATAAAGCAGTTTGAAAGACAACCATCTGAATCACAGCACTGCAGGCTGGCTCACGTGTTCAGGAGGTCCTGTCGGTGTTCGGGGGGGGGGGGGGGCGGTCACCTACCTCTGGGGTACATGCCGGGGTCCATGAAGGTGGCCATGCTGAAGTTAGCCAGCACGAAGAGGAAGACGACGCCATTGTAGAGTGGCACAGTGAGGGAGATGGCCTGCGTCAGCCAGGGGCACCTGGGGGGGGGGGAGCAGGGGGAGGCAGGCGGCTGTTACAGTCCATTCAGAACCACTGCACGTTCCTAGAACCGAGATATTATCAGAGCAGTCACCCGTGTCAAAGTCACTAGTGGGGGGGGGGGATAATATGAGGAGAGTCTGATTTATAAGCACACGTCTCGTGCATACGCGTGCAAGTGTACAAACGCACACACGCACGCACGCAGAGTCAGTAAAGGGAGGATTCTCCCTGTAATCCCCAGGAAAGCAAACACATACATCAGAGAACCACGGTGCTCCTTAGGAGGTCACCAAGAACCATGTGCGGACAGCAGGAGTTCCCAAAGGTCTCAGATTCGGGGTCCGAACAGCCTAGTAATGGCAGATGCCCCAGTACCGACCGAGCTGAGACCAAGCTTCTTCCTGCACAGTTAGTTTCTAACGTGCTAGTTTTCTAAGTGTTAGTTGTGCTGCTACATTTACATGTAGCGCAGGGTGGCTGTGCAGGGAAGGGCGGTGCCGCTGAGACAGGCGAAATACCGAGCGTGGGTCGGCGCTCCTCCAAGGAATGGACTGTCCCAAAACAGCACCCCCATACCGTGCACTACTTCGCATTCTGCTAGTTAGCATCCTGCCAGTTAGCATCCCGCTAATTAACATCCTGCCAGTTAGCATCCCGCTATTAGCGCCGAATGCTTCCAGCCCCAATCTCAGGGTGTATCCCTCATGGAAAGCAGGCTCCGCGCCTCTGGACCCACGAATGGGATAAAATGGGCCTGGCTGCAGAGCACTACGGCCATAATTTTCCTTCGGGGTCTGGCCGTAGTCCCGGGCCGAGAACCTCCCGGAAGGGCGTGCATCTCCAGACAGCCTGCAAGCCAAAGGCCAGAGTCCTCACAGCACCCGGCTCACAGTGGCCTGCCACCAAAGCCACGAGAAGGGCTAGAAAGGAAGTATTTCAGGCTGTCCGGCACAGACAGCCTGGCCTACAGGGCAAGTAACAGGGCTAAAAGGCTTTCAATGTGGGGCCAGTCAGATGAGAGGGAGTCGAGCAGGAAGGTCAGCCGGACACCCATGGCTGAGCAACAGGGCGTAAGGACGTGAAGACGGTCATAGGAAGAAGCAAATGAGAGAAAGGAGGGGGGGTTTTGGATGGAAAGAATGCAGTTTGCACCCAGTTTATCCTAATGGACTTAAAGTATTTTCTAAAGAACATAAGAAATTTACAAACGAGAGGGGGCCATTCCGGAGACACTCATAACAAAACACACACGAGTTTGTATTCATATCTTTGTGGGGACTCTCCATTCATTTCTACAGGAAAAACCCTAATCCTGACATAATGACCTTAACCCCTACCCAGCCATAACCTTAACCATAAGCATGCAAACAAAATACAAGACTTTAGGCATTTTTACTTTTTTGACTGCATTCACAGATCTTTGTGTGCACCCGAGAAATGGTCCCTATAAAGTAAAAAAAAACAGGTTATTACACTATCGGGGACATTTGGCCCCACAAAATAATATAAAGCTAATCCACACACACAAACACACACCGACATATGCGCACAGTCATATCTCAGTGCAGACTGCCATCTCAACACAGTGCCTTAAATCCCCATGCTTGAAAAGATTGAAGGTTCTGACCCCTGAAGGAAAGCTACCCAGACCCAGTCCGGTCCGAGGCAGGCTGAGGTGTTTTACACCCATTCTGTCCAGGCCGGTTACGTCAGAGTGTAACATGAGGCACTCCGTCCCCCCTGCCGTCCGTCCCCCCTGCCGTCCGTCCCCCCTGCCGTCCGTCCCCCTCCCCAGATGCACTCTGCACACATTCCCAAACCTCTAGCCCACCCTCCCACATAACATCCTCCCCTCCACCCCTGGACTAAGAGGGAAACGCAAAGATCTCACTCACCATCCTGATCCAAGGAGGCCGCCCCCTGAGGCTCACATCTGGGATTTAAGCGCCCCCCCCCCATGGGGCCGTTACCCGGGCACCTTGCGGTCGCGGCCACCCTCCCTCACAGCCCGTGTCTGCTTTGAGCGTGCACTGGGGGTCCCCGAGGACCCCCACCCAGCCAACAAAGACAACGCCGTAACCAAAAGCAGGCCAGCAGATGAGAACTACAAGAGACGCCGGAGGGAGATCGGCCTTTCGAAGAAGGGCGACCCCCCCACCCTCTCATCCCAAACACCAAGGAGGAAGTCCAACCTGTTACGAGACCAGCCAGGCCTTCCCCTAGAACTCCAAAGTGCAGCACAGATTCTGTAAAAATCCTGAAGAGAGACTTATCGGGTGAAACCAGAATCCGGGCAGAGGAGAGACGTCTGGCAGGGGGGTGAACCAGCTGCTAGGTATCGCCACCCGTCACCACAGTGCCCACATCACAGTGGTCTGAAATGATATTTAGTGGAAGTCATTCTCTGATCACCGATTCCCCATGCAGAGCCAGTCCTCACCATCAAGACGGCATTTCTGACTGATGCTGATGCTGGTTATATAGTTTAACCCAGTGGTTCTCAATTCTGTTCCTGCAGCCCCCCTTCCCAAAATGTTTTAATTCCAACCCATACTGCTTTCAAGCTGCCACATTCACTATCAGCCTATCATGAACATGTGAGCCTGATTAAGGTAGGGTTGGAACAAAACATTCTCGGAAGGGGACAGGAACAGGACTGAGAACCACTGGTTTAACTGGAATCAAACTCCCTATGCATGTGTGAACACATTCAACCAAAAAAGTCGATTGTAATTAAGCAGTTTAACACCAGCTCCGGTGTAACGGCGAGACGCTACAGACCACCCGCGCTAGCTTCATCTAACATCAGCAATAACTTTCTGACCTGCAGACAGACTACAGGGAAGTGATGCTTCAAAATCTTAAGCACAGTAGCGGCCGTTACTATGGTTACAGCATATAAACGTCTCCATTTACCCGGGCTACACGAGGGCACGCAAACCCAGCTCAAAATAGTTTCGAGCCGTCACTTTCTACTCATGCAGGGGAGGAGTGACACTCCTCCTGAAGTGGAAAAAACGTTTTTTGAGAAGCACACTTTTCTGATGTCACAGGAGCTAACGGCTAACGGCTGCTGGTAAAAACAGGACAGTCTGAGCATAGCCCACTCACTCAATCAGCAACACAGGGGGGTGTACCCACTCCAGGAGCCCACCTACAGCAGAACAACTAATGAATAATTCATAAAGCAGGACGCCTCAATAGAACTTAATGAGGAAAAGGCCCTTTATCAGGAACATGCACTACGGCTGTACTTAGACCTACACGATTCTGGGAAAAACAAATACTTTTGCTTGATTTCGTTTGCTTAGAATCGAGATCATGATTCTCTTAACATTTTTTTTTCTCAAATTTAAATGTCTATCGCACTCATTAAACTGCAAATGGAAACACAACAAAACATGACTGTGCCAAATGCATGACTGATCCAGGACCAGCATATCAACTACTTTATAGAGTAACTAACCACAGCACGAAAACCAGAGTGAACTCTTTCAGGAACCTGTGTCCCACCACCAATGTAACTCACGATGAGAAGACCTGTCCAATACTGTCCATCACGTGACCGTTCCACATAAAATGCAGTTAATTTAAAGTTAAATGGGTCATTCTGCTGAGGCAGAATGATTCTGCAAAACAATAATTAATCTGAGATCAGTTTACCGTGTGTCATTCTGGCTTCTTTTTGCTTGGTATTTGACTGATCCTGGGACAGAGGTATAAGCATCTAAAGCATCTAAAGGCGCATCATCCCAGGACCTGGAAACATGCGTAACCTCACACTGTCTGGAAGACAGACCCACCTGGAGCTCCGCCACACACCTGACCAGGTTACCCGGCAACAGCTGGACCCCCCACATCACTAAGGCCCAACCCCACACCCCCAAACTGGAAACATGGATTGGCTTGGCTCCTTTCGTAATCGGCTGGTTCATTAAGATGCACCTGGAGAGTAAGGGGCTGACTCACCACTCCCGAGAGTCGACTGTCACTACAGCAGTGGAATCTGAATGGGGGGGGGGGGGCTGCTACACAATGCCGACAAGTTTGGGGGGAGTGGAGTTAGCAATGGAAAACCTCAGATAAAAAGGGTGGGGGCTTGTGACACAGGGGAGGGCATTCCTAACTGACGATGTGATTCAGCCGGCAGGTTAACCCCGCTCGCTCCCGTGCGCACAGACCCGGCACCGACAGCACGGCGACACGCGTCACCACGTACAGGCATGTACACGCATGGTACACGCATGGTACACGCATGGTACACGCATGCGGCTGAGGGCATCCCAGGCTGAGCTCCGCTAACATCCGCCATCGGCAGCGGGGGGGTGGGGGGGGGGGGCTCACCATTGTTTTGACCTTTTATCTCCAGGCAGCATCTGCAAGTCGGGGGAACAGCTGGAACCGTGGCCGGAAAGTGACGCCCCCCCCCACCAAACACACACCACAAGCGTCCAGATTTTTTTTCTCCCTCCCCCACCACTTTCATTTCCTCTTAATGCTACAAGAGGCTGCAATATCTGAACCCTTTGCAAATATGCTAATGTGAAAATATGAAATCGGCTATTTTAGTTTTCTGCCACTAACAGGACCTGAGAAGAAAAAAAAAGAAAAAAAAAGCCCATCGGCCGCATCTGCGCAGCCTGCGTGTTGGACTGCGCCGCTGCAGCACTGCACTCACACGCTGGTGAGTCATGGCTTTCTCGTGACAGTGGGGAACAGACTGTGCAGGCGTGTGCGCGCGTCCCCGGGCAGCAGCCAGCTTCCTTATGTTTCCAAAGCGGTTCGACTCCATGTAGCGACAGGCGACACCCTAACGCTGACAGTGCACTTCTCAGGTGGGGGAGGGGACACTTAGCGTGTACCAAACTCTGAAATAACCAATTTAACTGAAATCCCCCAATGGCCCGCCAGCTGATTGGTCAGCTACAAACAGGGTAGGAGTGGCCTGATTTTCAGTGGGTTGGAGGTCACTGGGAATAAATCCCAACCTGTGTGA